CGCGCAGAGGGGACCGCGGCCGTACGCGGCGGTAACAGCCCTTTCTCCACCGCTGGGGCCCGCCGCAGGTTGCTGCCTGCCTGCGGTGCTCCCACAGGCCCCCGGAGCTCTGTCCTGCTTCTGTCCCGCCTCCCCACAATGGTGCCGTGACTGAGGTTCACACATCAGCCTCGTCTCACCGCCCGGCCCGCCGTGAGGGGATGTTCTTTTGTCTCTGTCCTCACAGGAGTGACCACAGGGACAGGGGCTACCCTGACACCAGTGGTCATAGAACATGGAATCCCAGACGGGTTTGGGCTGGAGGGACCTCAAAGCTCCTCCAGTTCCAACCCCTGCCCCGGGCAGGGACACCTTCCACTAGAGCAGGTTGCTCCAAGCCCCTGTGTCCAACCTGGCCTTGAACACTGCCAGGGATGGGGCAGCCACAGCTTCTCTGGGCACCCTGTGCCAGCGCCTCAGCACCCTCACAGGGAAGAGCTTCTGCCTTAGATCCAACCTGAACTTCCCCTGTTTCAGTTTGAACCCATCACCCCTTGTCCTATCACTCCAGTCCCTGATGCAGGTCCCTCTCCAGCATCCTTGTAGCCCCCTTCACACACTGGAAGCTGCTCTGAGCTCTCCACTCCACTTCTCATCTCCAGGCTGAGCAGCCCCAATGTTCTCAGCTTGTCTTATGTTGAGGAGACCAGTGGTGCAAGTGGGGTCTCCCCAAAAGGGCGAGAATCCCCTCCCTCGACCTGCTGCTCACACCCTGGGGGTGCAGCCCAGCACACGGGGGGGTCTGGGCCAGGTCATGTTCAGTTTCTCACTCACCGACACCCCCAGGTCCTTCTACTCAGCCCTGTGTGGAGGTACCAGTGAAAGAGGATTTTGCTTCATTTTATGTATATTTCTACCAAAAGAAAAAAAAAAAAGTGCAATTCAGAGGGTGAAAAGGGTTTTTATTACAACATCAAGGAGTTCTTGGGTTTAGTCCCTGACAAATACCTTCTGCACGGTCAGTTTAAGTCTGTCAGCAACACAGGCATTTCAGGGTTTGAAACGGTGTGTATAGGCCCTACGTGATGGAGACACTGATGTATTTGTAACACACATGACATTTAATTTCTGAAAGACTCATTTTGCAAATAAACTGGACCTTGCTTTGCTCAGTTTGCTATTAAAGGTGAAGAGCAAAACCATGTGCTGCCTCTTTCAGGAAACACGGGTGGCCTCCAGAAGCTGGTTTTCTGCTGAGAAGACTCGAGGTGCTGTGGAGCTGTGGAGAGGATTTCATGTGAACAAAGGAAAGGTTGGAAGTCTTGAATCAAAAGGCTCAGACAGGGACCCTGGAAGCTGATTTTCATCTCTTCCACCAGCAGAACAAGGTGAATGTCTGGGGCTGTGGCTGGGAGGGGTGGAATCATGGCCAGCTTCTACCTCATGGCCATGAGGTAGAAGGAAACCCTGAAGGAAAACCTGAGAGGTGAGAGACTTAAAATGTTCTGTATGCTGGAGACGAAGGGGAACAAACAACTTTGAACCTAAAGTATAAGAGCAGAGCAGGGCAGGTGTGAAATAGAATGAGGAGGCAACTGCTGCTTCAGGGGTCAGAACATCAGTGAGTGAGCCTGTGACTGTGCAGCTCAATGACCCAAACATCCTGCTGTGTGTGGGCAACTCCAGAGAGTGGCCACAGGTATCAGAGAGGGCCCTGCCAGCAAGGAGAGATTTCTGGCCCATGACAACCCATCACAGTCCCAGTGCTTGGACAGCCTGGAGGGAGGGAACCTGAGTCGTGAGGGTCTCTGCTCAGCATCCAGGGGTACTTAGGACACATGGATGTTACTTCTCTTTTGCAATTCACCTTTACACTAGAGCTTTTCCTTACAACATCACACGTCTGGAGGGATGGAGGGACTCAGGATTGAGGCTAGTGGGAATAGTTCTGTGCCTGGCTGCCAGGATCTCTCCTGCTGCCCAGCTCTTTGACTGCAAGGAGGTCAGAAAGCTCTTGCAGGTTCCAATTACCCTTTGGGGTCTTCATATACTGCAGCAGATCCAGCTGCTTTAACGGGGGGAAGCCCTGCTCCTTTTCCATCAGTCCCAGCAGCTGCTTCATCAGGCTTGAAGTCTTGTCCCTGTTGATGCTGTTGTAGAGATCTGAGGGATCTTGGCTCTTCTGTGAATCCCACATGGCATTTGAAAGGGAAATATCCCTGCTGCTGGCTGTGTGCACGCTGCCCAGGGCATTGTGGAGCCACATCAGGCGCTTCAGCCCTTGAAACTCTCTCCCTTTGTCATGCATGAGCTGGTGCTCCGTCACCGTTCTTTTACTGAAACAAGAAATAGGAACCAAGCACACTCAGATCTAAGCTCCTATTTCAAACGTGGCTGGTTTTGCAGCCATCAGTCTTAGATGCTTTTCCAAGCTGAGGAAGGAGCACTGGTGGTGCCTGCCTGTGATGTGGAGGCTTAAAAAGAGCTCTTGGAGATTTCGCCTTTCTCAAATTTGGGGTCTTTTCAGAGGTTTAAATACCAGAATTAAGTTCCCTTTTCATGACCTTAGCGTTCTAGGATCAATGAGTTTTCTTTCCTTCCAGAGCTGTAACTCAGGAGTAATCTAACTGGAATCAGTGGTATCCATGAAATGCCAAATCCCAGGATGGTTTGGGTTGGAAGGGACCTTAGAGATCATCTCATTCCAACCTCTACCACGGGCAGGGAACCTGCTGGTTTTCATCAGATATACCAAAAACTTTGAGACAAATATTGACTGAGGAGAACAGGCTAATTCTGGGATGCAAATATTTCTGGATCTGGGGCTCTTTAGATAACATCTAACTGCAGCCATAGGCTCCCACTGCAGATTTAGATTGGAATGGAAACCTACATATGGAATTTCAGCATGTGCCATTCCTATGGCTTGTGCTGAACAGCCTTACATGGTTTGTTACACTGTGCTGAAAGGCATCAACTGAAATGTGGTGAATGTTCCACATCTAAAATGCAGTTGGTCTAATTTTATACTGCATGGAAAGCAATGTAAAATGTTTCTGCATCTAATATATAGAAGTTTTCTTCCACTCTGGAGTAAATGAGAGCATGACTGCCCATTAAATCAAAGGCAAACAGACCTCTAATGATACTAAGTAAAAGGATATTACTTACTTTCCAGTGTCTTCACGTGCTGCAAAACAGGTAAAAGAAAGAATTGCCAGTAGTGTAACCATCTGCAGAGATCTCTGGGGCAGGAACATCTTCTCTCTTCTTCAAATCTGCTCCATGGGACAAGAAGCTGACAGTATGATCAAAATCTTTTTTTTCTCTAGTCTTTCTTTCACCTGACAAAATGCATTTCAGCCTTTAAGCACTGGTAAAAGTGGAGCATTGTACTATGGCACACCACTCCCGGACCTCCCAGAACATCAGATGTGTGGCTCTGTAACATATAGCAGTAAAAGATGAACAGATTTCATAGTATATGTCTCATTTCCTTGCTAACAGTCCTAATTCTCCTTTTCCACTTTTGCCTCTCAATTGCCCCCTCTTGTCCATCTGCAAGCACAGGAGATTATTTCATTTAGAACTGGCAAGATAAAAAACTTAGCAGATATTTAACACACAGATCAGGATTGCTCCTCAAAGGGCTTTTCTTTACACTGACTTGAATACTGAATTCTCAATGACTGAATAGAAAGGCAAATTAAACAGCTGGGTGTAAAAATTTGGCTTGTTCCTATCAGTTTACTAATTTGTTATTTCCTTGGACAATATGTTCATATTTAACTAGATATAAAATAACAAATGGAGATAAGTTCTGATTAAAGATATCTGTATTGAATACAGATATATACACATAAATATACATGTAGACGTGTGTGAATGGTATTTTAGGTTATGCTGAGGTAGAACTCTTGCTCATACACAGTAGGTAAGAGATACTTTCCTATTGTGATCAGCAGTAAGCTATGTATGGATTAAAAAGCATCTTCCAGTTCCAAAAGTAACATTAGCTACTTACTGGTGATCCTGCAGAGCCCACAGGGAAGTTCTGCCCTGCACAGATGTGTCTCCTGGACAGTCCTGTCACGCCCTTCCAGTTGCAATGACACCAAGTGCTTTTCACCTGCTTTTATACCAGCCCAGAAACCACAGAAACAATAGAAATGAGCTCCACAGCACGTTGTGACTAAGACCTTGCCTCTCATGGCAGTGAAATGAGGCAGCTCCCTCACTCCTGCAAGAATAAATCTTGGATTCTGACATGTTCTGTTCAGCTGTGACTAAGGGAAAGATCACAGGTTTATGGACATCTTGTTACTCCTTTGCTGTCTCTCCTGAACTCAGGACACTGTTTTGTGAGCACTTTTTATTCTAACACAGGGTTCCTGTGCCCCAAGATGATGGAAAAGGCATATTCAAACCTGTTGTTCCAGGGCTGATCAGGAAAAATGTCTGTGCTATGCAAAAGAGATCCCCCTCCTCTGCTGTCCTCATGGACTTACTCATAGGACACTAAAGTTGCATAGGAGGAATCTAAATCAACAATACCAATGAGCTCTGTAGTGCCAGTAGTCATACAGTCAGCAAATGCCACATGCTCAGGCAAAAAGCCAAGTGCTTTGAAAGCCCAGGAGCTGATGTCGTGTGAGGCTTGAGGCTCACTTCATGATCTCTAACCAGGTAATTGCAATAGAATTTGGATACCCGGGATGTGTCTGGACCATTACACATAAACACTACTTAAGAGGACTGGTTCCTACTTCTTGAAGTAAAAGAAAGTGAATGTATTTGTCATCTCTGGGGGAAAAATCCCTGGAAAGATTGGGAAGATGATTTAGTGTTACCAGAAGCTACTGATTCCTTTCACATAGTCTCAGCCATACGTACCTGTTGAACCCAGCCTCAGGTGAATGCAGGCATGTTGTCCAGACAGAGACAGGCCCTGGTACAGTGCTCACGTGACCTCCTCCATTCTCATAGCTTCTGTGGACAACAAATTGCTTTGATTATATTCCTCAGGGTGGCTTATTTTGAGCTCTGCTATTTCAGAGCAATCAAATAAGGTTCCTGATTTCCTTACATGAGTCCCACCTGTTAAAGGGAGTGTCACTCATTAAAGAGAACAAAATATATCACCAATTAAAGATGACATTTACTAAACATTGGTAAAACAGGGGCCTGCTTCACATCTTGGTTTCCAGGGTAGCAGATACGCTGCAGTTACACTGAATATCTGCCCATGAAAACACGGTTTCTTAGTTACATCTGCAAGGACTAATGAGCATTGGCCAAAGTCATGTCCAAAACATGAGGTCTAATTCATCCTTGAACTTTTTGAGTCTCCATTATACAGCGGGTTTCACCAAATGCAGTTATTGGCATCTCTGCAGGAAGAACTAATCCCACGTTGATGTGAGTGGCTGCAGACAGGACACAGACACTGACGTGGCATTGGTAAACGGGCACTTGACGCATTCTGTGCTGGCCAAACCGCGTTGCCTCGTCTACGCTTCTCCACTGGGTATTTCTCCCTACCCAAGGACCTGGAAGAAGCCAAAATAACCTTGGTTGTGACTTTGTAACATGTCCCTGAGAGGTGTATGTGAGGACAGGCTGTGCTGGAGCTATGATTTGTCTTTGAGAAGCATCTGCACAAAGACTATGGGCACCAGCAGCATGGTAGGGAAGAGGTGCTGCAGGGATTGATTTCCATCATTTGCAGTATTTCATAGAATCACCGACTGGTTTGTGTTGAAGGGAGCTTAAAGCTCCTCCAGCTCCAACCCCTG